TAACCCATGTACACTTTCCGATAACCCAGATACACTTTCCGATAACCCAGGTACACTTTCCGATAACGCATATACACTTTCCGATAACCGACGTACACTTTCCGATAACCCAGTTACACTTTCCGATAATCCAGGTTCACTTTCCGATAACCCAGGTACACTTTCCGATAACCCAGGTACACTTTCCGATAACCCAGGTTCACTTTCCGATAACCCAGGTACTATTTCCGATAACCCAGGTACACTTTCCGATAACCCAGGTACACTTTCCGATATCCCAGATACAGTTTCTGATAACCCAGGTACACATTCCGATAACCCAGGTACACTTTCCTATAACCTAGGTGCACTTTACGATATCCCATTAACACTTTCTGATAATCCAGGTACACTTTCCGATGACTCAGGTACACTTTCCAGTTAGTGAGTTACACTTTTATATGGTTGCTGTTTTGATATGGTAAATTTGTCTCTGCACTTTACATTCCGGGGCCTTTGTTCTGACCAAATCTATGCCTACATGCACCAGTGTCATCAAATCAGGATTAAAGTTGTTTTTTGTCAAGAACAATAATAAAAGAACGGATCTACTGACACAAAGCACAGCTAGTGACTCCCCATTGGATAACGTATATCAGTTAGATGTGTGCAGGTTGGGATTAGGCTTTTTCCTATTTTCGGATTTTCAGTAATGGCGTTCAGAGCATGTACACGCAAGAAAGGTTATAATACTCATGTATGTATATGAGTATATGCTAATGATTTCTTGTCCGTATGCAGTCCGATATTGTCAACTCTGAATTTGTCCGGATACGTTTCTTAACTGAGATAACACTATAGTAGTGCATGTTTCGCACTTTATGATCTGAACTGCAGGGTGGTGGTTCATGCACTGTCATATTGAGATCCACCAGGTGGAGGGGATGGCCATGATGATCAAGGAGGGGACGGAGGGACAGATGAACCCCCACCCCCGGGATTCCCTACCTGTGGGAGCTTCGACTGGAGTTACAAAGACTTCAAGATAATCAGCAAAGCTGCTTCATTGAGGAGCTCTATGTGTAAGTTTAGCGTGTCTGTGTAGTTTGTGTGTGTCTGTGTTCCTGTGTGTAAACATGATAACTTTAAGATTCCTGGGTTGATAGTCTTTATATTTAGCCCATGATGTAGATCTTTATGAGACCTTGATGAATTCTTTTATTGTTTTCATTTAATAAAACACATAAAAGTAAATACAAGACTGCAATGGCGACGGCTTCAAGTTAATTGCACTTGTATAAGCGCCGCCACCAAAGACACTTACCTCGATATAATTAGATTTTAGTCCTAAGGAGCTACAGCGCAAATTCCGGTTTAAATATCTTGTGATCTGGATATAATCAAGAATTAGCTGGCAGACATAATAAGTCACTGAAACAATAAATAGACTGCTTTTTCACCTGAAGGTATTGTTCTCGTCAGTCCTTTCGTAGAAAATTATATATAATAGGAAAATTTGTGTTATCTCCAAACTGCCTATGTCTGATGTTATGTCTCATCTGTTACAGGGTTGGACCTTTTGGTGACGGCTGGAGCTCTATGGTTGCTCTTGTAGTTTAAATGTACTTATCAAATGTGGTTGCATAATGAGGTTGCAGACTTCGATTTCATTGTAACAATGAGACAGGTTAACCGCCGAATTAGTGTCACCACGTGACGATAATATAAACTCTTATGTTTTTATGGATAATATTTCTTATATAGAATAGTATCGTCTGTAAGTATTGCTGTTTGGCATTTGTTGGCGTACATAGTCCCCATTTTCCGTATAGGATGAATTATTCTTAAGTCTGTCTAAATATTGTACATGTGAAGTCTACAGTCATCACGTAGCTTTATGTTTTAAAAGTACAATTACTTCCACAAAATATAAGGATTATTCTTGAGTAATCTCCATTGTGAAATATTCTGTTTAGTAATAAATTATAAATACATATATTAATCGTTAGTACGTATAATGAGATCTATATTG